TGAGTCAACCCTGAGCCGGTGAGATTTGAACCGCTGACCTGCTGATCTAGCAGTAGCCTGCAGTGCTGCATTTAACCACTGCACCACCTTGGCTCTGCAGCACTCTGCCAGCCAAAACATGGCACAAGGTGTGAACTGGCAGGGTGCTGCAGGAGGCATCCATCCTGTCTCCCCGCTCCCCTAGCTGGCCCACAGATTTGGGCCTCGAATAAATCCAGTTTGACACCCCTGGGTTAGAGCGTAAACATGAATAATTGTCAGATTAGAGGACTGTCTTGAAGTCTAATTGATCATTGGTTATTGATTGCATTGTAGCTAAAAACTATTCCTGCTGCAAGTAGTCCTCATTTAATGAACACAGTTGGGGCTGGAAACAATCATTAAGTAATAGGATTGGCCAAATGAAAGCACTTCTGTGCTTATGATCTTTCCTCAGCTTTTCTTTGCTTGCAAAATTTCAAATTTGAGGACTGGTTGCAAGTTATTTTTTCCTCACCATTGTAATGCAAACACTCATGGTATAAGCAGTTGCTAAATAAGAACATATTATTTCCCGACTATGAAAGGGATTGTCTGGACCTCTTTCAGTCAGGATACAGGCCCAGTTACACTCTTGTTATTTGCTGGTGAAAGGGGAATGGGAGTAGTGCAATCATCCTTGCTCTCCTTAACCTCTCAGCAGCCTTTGATACCATCAACCCTGGTACCCTTTTGTGCTGGCTACAGGGTCTGCAACTGGGTAATAGGAGTCTTGCACTGGTTTGGCTCCTTTCTCCAAGGCTGGTCCCAATTGGTGTAAATAAGGAGTGAGAGATCCAGCTCTTTTAAAAGACAGACTGTACACAATAACACAGATCCATTGCACTATTCCCTTTGGAAATAAGCAATTTTATTACTACATCCATTCTACATAAAGACTAACAACAAATCTAAAGTTTTCTTTTAAATTGAACATTCAAATTGTTTTACTGAACGGAAAAAGAAATCTCAAAATACTGTCATGTTTTCTGAAAATTAGACAGAATAGATAAGACTTACCAAGTTTTTTAAGAGGTAAATTTAAAAAAAAGTTTTTGCAATCTGCAGATCTCCCAAACCCTCTGTATGTCTCATTTTTTGTGAAAAACGGGCATGCAGAGAGTTTTAGAGGCCTGCAAAGTGCTCCTGGGGCTGGGGGGGGGGAGAGAGGCATAAATGAGCAAAAAATGGCCCATTTTTTGTGAAAATGGGTCCATTTTTTGCCCAAAGGGGCATGTATAGTCTTTAGGTGGCTTGTAGAGTGCTGTTTTTTTTTGTAAAAACGAGCATAAAACGGCCTGTTTTTTGCTCGTTTTTGCTGCCCCCAGGAGCACTTTGCAGGCCTCCCAAACCCTCTGCACATCCATTGTTGTGAAGGGGGCGGGGTTTCAGCAGGCCAAAAATGGTGTATTCAGTGTATGACGCCCCCAGATTTTCACCCTCTTTTGGGGAGGGGAAAGGTGTGTTTTATACTCCGAAAAATACAGTAATATCTATAGAAATTCTCAGTCATCCAGGTCATGGTTGTCCCAAAGGTGCTTTTTTAAAGAGGCAACCAGATTTTCTTGTTTTTTTCTTTGAAGATGGTTCTCTTCTCATCCAAGAAGCTTCTCAGAGCTGAAGAAGAGCTGCCTTGTTTTTTTTTTTCTAGAGAAAAACTGAACTTTCTTTGTGGTTATTTTCCCCTTTGTCTCTTCCAATGTCCATTTTAGAGTCTATCTCATCATTGACAACTATGGGCTTTTGGTTATCATGGTTATATATCTCTTCTTTTTTATAATTGCCCTGGGTATCAGAATCTGGACAGTATGTTTTAGGATATGGTTCATTCTCTGCCTTTTTTCTTTTTATTGCCCCCATTCCCCTGATAAGGAAACCTTCCTCATTGAGCTGGAACTTTTGCACTGCAGTTTTTCTTCGGATGTTATAAAGATCTGCCAGTTGTCGTAGTTCTTCTGGTAACTCCATAGAAGATATCTGATTAACACAGGAACACAAACAGATGAGAACAGCACTTGATTATCATTATTTCTTTGAAGTGCTATGTTTTATCACTGAATTAGGTAAATATGAACAATACAGCACTTTGCACTGAATTCAGAAGTTCTATTTTCTATAATGTTTGAAGAATATTTATATGTATGAGGCAATTTTACTAGGGCTGTGCAAGGTATTTAGAAAAGGTAACCGGCAAAGCTTGTTTAAAGCCCTATTTCAAAACATTAAATCAGCTCTGTTCTTTGAAAAACTTCACACATGATGTGACCACACACCAACCTTTTCATCCCAGCATTAAAATGAGGTTTGCATGGATTCATATGTATAAGCAAGATCCAAAGCTGCAGCTGTTTGCAGACTACCTGTTTTGAATCCTTTGTACACACGGAGTATTTATTGCATATTTTTAATATGAAATTCATCAATATTCCCAAAAATATGAAGCCACTGATCATTAGATACATTAAAATATCACTTGTTGTTTGTATGTACACTGAGAGCTTATGCTCCAGAGACAAATTCCTTCTGTGTCCATTCATACTAGAATAAAGAATTCTATTCTATTCTAAAAACAGGAGTTGTACCTGTTCCAATACTACTATTATTTTGATATAAGGTGAACACTTACTTCCATTTTTTTTTATATTTTAAATTTCAACATTATTTGGCATCAATTTTTATTGATTTAACTTACTACTATTACCTTTTATTTAATGTTAATGAACTTTCTCTTTTACTAATGCCCTAAAAAGATATGTAATAAGTATAGATAAAATATTCTTTTCACAATTAAATATAGTAGGAAGAATGAACAATACATTTTTAATATACTTGTTCTGCTAAATGAAAATTCTGAATTAATATGCATACTAACATCCAACTCAATAGGAGCTTTGCATCTTCTCTCTCAATAAAATGTAAAGCATCTAATGAAGTTTTACAACTGCCATTCTTCCACATAATTAAAACAGAATGACAGCAAAGGTTTTTTTTTTTTTAAAAAAAATCTTCCCTAATGCAGGATTCAATGCCAATAAAGTACTTTAGTTAGTAGCTAATAGCATTGATAAATTAGATGATCCTACCAAACAGTGTACAATTGAGATTGAACTCACCTTGATGCTCCCCAGGGGATCTGCAGATCCTTGCCTAAATGCATTCAAGTAACTATCCACTAATGTTGTTAAATCAGACATAATTTCACCAAGCAGCAGCAAACGGAGAGGGAGGAGATACGCTGTTTCCAGGGCTAATATATTCAACAATACAGGTGGAAGGGGTCGCACAAACCAGACCTCAGGATCTTCCTATATGAAAAAGTACAAAACAGTATTTTGAGGTATGCAGTGGAGTACCCCAAGGCTCTGTTTTGGGCCCAGTACTCTTCATCATCTTCATCAATGATTTGGATGAGGGAATAAATGGGGAACTCATCAAATTTGCAGATGACACCAAGCTGGCAGGAATAGCCAACACTCCAGAAGATAGGCTAAGGAAGGATCTTGACAAACTTGAACATTGGGCACTATCTAATAAAATGAAATTCAATGGTGAAACGAGTAAGGTTCTACATTTAGGCAACAAAAATGAAATGCGCAGGTCAGTATAGGTGGTACCTTGCTCAACAGTAGTAATTGTGAAAGGGATCTTGGAGTCCTAGTGGATGGTCATTTAAATATGAGCCGTGTGCAGCAGCTGCCAAAAAAGCCAACACAGTTCTAGGCTGCTTAAACA